GAAATTACTAAGTAAATACAGCTTTGTGTCAAAACTGAGTGATTACCTAGATTTTGTACGACTATTTTTGTTCTTTTGTATCTTGTTATTATAACAAAAGATTCACGGTGTGCATTTCATGTTTATGTTGGAAAAGGTGTAACTAATCGTACGCGAACTCGTTCATATTGGATTGCTGCAGAATAAGTACAACTTGTTACATGTTTAACTGACCACAATAGTTTTTTTAATTACTCGTATACCAATGATAGTTCTGCATTCCCTCATTAACGGCATTCTCTCTTTCACTCTTTGTAAAAGTGTGTTATCAAAGAAATAAACACGTGATAAAGGCAATTTGTGAAATTCGAAAGAACAGGTACGTGGTTTCACAAACTTTATTTCTCACGGCCGTAGTAGACTAAGCAACTCCTTTAATTTAAAAACACCAATCTGTGAAACGAGCCCCTTTCAGGCCTCCTACTTAAATGGCATTGTGAAACTTTGGAATTACTCTTGTTCTATTGCTCCTTCTTCTAGTTTTTCGCGTCCGCTCTCCTTCCAGCTTTTCGTCAAACAAACACTTTTTGACTGCCTGAGACATTGACATTGACTAGCCCTGCACGTAGACACTAGTTAGAACTTGCTCGTGCTACAAGCTAGAGGTGTAGTTAGTACTATGTTATAAACCAAATAAAGTTGTTAAAAAAGTTGTTAATTCAAATGGCAGGAATTGAAGCAAATGCATACATCAAGGTGAATATGATTAAATAAGCACTTATAAAAGAATATCAAGTCTTTCAGTTCTCTGTCGTAGGTAAGAGGGAGTAAGAGGGTAATAAGTCTGTCTGTCTGTCTCTGCAGGACATCTCGCCAATCCTGGTTTGTAAGATCCATTTGGTAGCGCGCCGCTGCACTCGCTCGACTTGTGCCTTCAGGGAAACCTGAGCGGGCGACCAGACTTGAGTAGCGCAGCAGAGTTATGACTTGACTAGCGATAAGGATGGCGCGCGCCGGGTAGACACGTCAGTTAGTAATGGACATGTCCACTTTAGGAGCCTAAGGAGCCTGTTGTCTCTGGCGGTGATGGTGTATATATGAGAGTACCAAGACAACGTACCCGTAATTGTAACTCCTAGATCGTTTTCCGCGGACACTCGCACAAGTTGTGTGTTGTTTAGGATGTATTCGTAAATCAAGGGAGTTTTCATCCGCGTCACAGTAAGCGTTGTGCATTTCTAGGTGTTGAAGTTGATGTTATTTCCCTATGACCAGTCATTCACGTTTGCTCGGAGTGGTCTACAGAGACAGATAATCGCTGACGGAGCTGACGTTTTTATGCAGCTTGGTGTCATCAGCGTATAACGATGCCCTCATCCCGGCTACAGTTTCACCCGGGAGATCGTTAATAAAGATCGTCCAAAACTACCCTTTGAGCTCGACCCTTTCGCAAAATCCAAGTAACATTAGTCCTAATGTTCTTATCCTTCTAAGTAGTGGATAACATTTTTCATTTAGCTCTGCACGTTTTCCACGATCGCTTGAGCACTTAAATGGTATCTACGGCCTATTTCGGAGTAAGAATTTATAAGCAAATT